TTAAGCCAATCAGATACCCTACGGGCTCGGAAAGTGCAACGAAACCATCAAATTTTAGCTAGAAACTGTATTTTTGTCGATTTTTATTGAATTTGAACTATATTTCAACGTTTTTTGATGGTTCTGAGCCACCAAACACACTTAAAGCATGCAGAATCGACTCAGAATAGGAAAAGGAGACGTTTAGGTCAATTTTATGTATTCTGGCGTTCGTAGATACAAGAAAACTGTTAAAATTCTTCAGAAACGTCACTTTTGAAGTGTTTTCTTATACTTTTAAGCCAATCAGATACCCTACGGGCTCGGAAAGTGCAACGAAACCATCAAATTTTAGCTAGAAACTGTATTTTTGTCGATTTTTATTGAATTTGAACTATATTTCAACGTTTTTTGATGGTTCTGAGCCACCAAACACACTTAAAGCATGCAGAATCGACTCAGAATAGGAAAAGGAGACGTTTAGGTCAATTTTATGCATTCTGGCGTTCGTAGATACAAGAAAACTGTTAAAATTCTTCAGAAACGTCACTTTTGAAGTGTTTTCTTGTACTTTTAAGCCAATCAGATACCCTACGGGCTCGGAAAGTGCAACGAAACCATCAAATTTTAGCTAGAAACTGTATTTTTGTCGATTTTTATTGAATTTGAACTATATTTCAACGTTTTTTGATGGTTCTGAGCCACCAAACACACTTAAAGCATGCAGAATCGACTCAGAATAGGAAAAGGAGACGTTTAGGTCAATTTTATGCATTCTGGCGTTCGTAGATACAAGAAAACTCTTAAAATTCTTCAGAAACGTCACTTTTGAAGTGTTTTCTTGTACTTTTAAGCCAATCAGATACCCTACGGGTTCGGAAAGTGCAACGAAACCATCAAATTTTAGCTAGAAACTGTATTTTTGTCGATTTTTATTGAATTTGATTTAGATTTCAAAGTTTTTTGATGGTTCTGAGCCACCAAACACACTTAAAGCATGCAGAATCGACTCAGAATAGGAAAAGGAGACGTTTAGGTCAATTTTATGCATTCTGGCGTTCGTAGATACAAGAAAACTGTTAAAATTCTTCAGAAACGTCACTTTTGAAGTGTTTTCTTGTACTTTTAAGCCAATCAGATACCCTACGGGCTCGGAAAATGCAACGAAACCATCAAATATTAGCTAGAAACTGTATTTTTGTCGATTTTTATTGAATTTGAACTATATTTCAACGTTTTTTGATGGTTCTGAGCCACCAAACACACTTAAAGCATGCAGAATCGACTCAGAATAGGAAAAGGAGACGTTTAGGTCAATTTTATGCATTCTGGCGTTCGTAGATACAAGAAAACTGTTAAAATTCTTCAGAAACGTCACTTTTGAAGTGTTTTCTTGTAATTTTAAGCCAATCAGATACCCTACGGGCTCGGAAAGTGCAACGAAACCATCAGATTTTAGCTAGAAACTGTATTTTTGTCGATTTTTATTGAATTTGAACTATATTTCAACGTTTTTTGATGGTTCTGAGCCACCAAACACACTTAAAGCATGCAGAATCGACTCAGAATAGGAAAAGGAGACGTTTAGGTCAATTTTATGCATTCTGGCGTTCGTAGATACAAGAAAACTGTTAAAATTCTTCAGAAACGTCACTTTTGAAGTGTTTTCTTGTACTTTTAAGCCAATCAGATACCCTACGGGCTCGGAAAGTGCAACGAAACCATCAAATTTTAGCTAGAAACTGTATTTTTGTCGATTTTTATTGAATTTGAACTATATTTCAACGTTTTTTGATGGTTCTGAGCCACCAAACACACTTAAAGCATGCAGAATCGACTCAGAATAGGAAAAGGAGACGTTTAGGTCAATTTTATGCATTCTGGCGTTCGTAGATACAAGAAAACTGTTAAAATTCTTCAGAAACGTCACTTTTGAAGTGTTTTCTTGTACTTTTAAGCCAATCAGATACCCTACGGGCTCGGAAAGTGCAACGAAACCATCAAATTTTAGCTAGAAACTGTATTTTTGTCGATTTTTATTGAATTTGAACTATATTTCAAAGTTTTTTGATGGTTCTGAGCCACCAAACACACTTAAAGCATGCAGAATCGACTCAGAATAGGAAAAGGAGACGTTTAGGTCAATTTTATGCATTCTGGCGTTCGTAGATACAAGAAAACTGTTAAAATTCTTCAGAAACGTCACTTTTGAAGTGTTTTCTTGTACTTTTAAGCCAATCAGATACCCTACGGGCTCGGAAAGTGCAACGAAACCATCAAATTTTAGCTAGAAACTGTATTTTTGTCGATTTTTATTGAATTTGAACTATATTTCAACGTTTTTTGATGGTTCTGAGCCACCAAACACACTTAAAGCATGCAGAATCGACTCAGAATAGGAAAAGGAGACGTTTAGGTCAATTTTATGCATTCTGGCGTTCGTAGATACAAGAAAACTGTTAAAATTCTTCAGAAACGTCACTTTTGAAGTGTTTTCTTGTACTTTTAAGCCAATCAGATACCCTACGGGCTCGGAAAGTGCAACGAAACCATCAAATTTTAGCTAGAAACTGTATTTTTGTCGATTTTTATTGAATTTGAACTATATTTCAACGTTTTTTGATGGTTCTGAGCCACCAAACACACTTAAAGCATGCAGAATCGACTCAGAATAGGAAAAGGAGACGTTTAGGTCAATTTTATGCATTCTGGCGTTCGTAGATACAAGAAAACTGTTAAAATTCTTCAGAAACGTCACTTTTGAAGTGTTTTCTTGTACTTTTAAGCCAATCAGATACCCTACGGGCTCGGAAAGTGCAACGAAACCATCAAATTTTAGCTAGAAACTGTATTTTTGTCGATTTTTATTGAATTTGAACTATATTTCAACGTTTTTTGATGGTTCTGAGCCACCAAACACACTTAAAGCATGCAGAATCGACTCAGAATAGGAAAAGGAGACGTTTAGGTCAATTTTATGCATTCTGGCGTTCGTAGATACAAGAAAACTGTTAAAATTCTTCAGAAACGTCACTTTTGAAGTGTTTTCTTGTACTTTTAAGCCAATCAGATACCCTACGGGCTCGGAAAGTGCAACGAAACCATCAAATTTTAGCTAGAAACTGTATTTTTGTCGATTTTTATTGAATTTGAACTATATTTCAACGTTTTTTGATGGTTCTGAGCCACCAAACACACTTAAAGCATGCAGAATCGACTCAGAATAGGAAAAGGAGACGTTTAGGTCAATTTTATGCATTCTGGCGTTCGTAGATACAAGAAAACTGTTAAAATTCTTCAGAAACGTCACTTTTGAAGTGTTTTCTTGTACTTTTAAGCCAATCAGATACCCTACGGGCTCGGAAAGTGCAACGAAACCATCAAATTTTAGCTAGAAACTGTATTTTTGTCGATTTTTATTGAATTTGAACTATATTTCAACGTTTTTTGATGGTTCTGAGCCACCAAACACACTTAAAGCATGCAGAATCGACTCAGAATAGGAAAAGGAGACGTTTAGGTCAATTTTATGCATTCTGGCGTTCGTAGATACAAGAAAACTGTTAAAATTCTTCAGAAACGTCACTTTTGAAGTGTTTTCTTGTACTTTTAAGCCAATCAGATACCCTACGGGCTCGGAAAGTGCAACGAAACCATCAAATTTTAGCTAGAAACTGTATTTTTGTCGATTTTTATTGAATTTGAACTATATTTCAACGTTTTTTGATGGTTCTGAGCCACCAAACACACTTAAAGCATGCAGAATCGACTCAGAATAGGAAAAGGAGACGTTTAGGTCAATTTTATGCATTCTGGCGTTCGTAGATACAAGAAAACTGTTAAAATTCTTCAGAAACGTCACTTTTGAAGTGTTTTCTTGTACTTTTAAGCCAATCAGATACCCTACGGGCTCGGAAAGTGCAACGAAACCATCAAATTTTAGCTAGAAACTGTATTTTTGTCGATTTTTATTGAATTTGAACTATATTTCAACGTTTTTTGATGGTTCTGAGCCACCAAACACACTTAAAGCATGCAGAATCGACTCAGAATAGGAAAAGGAGACGTTTAGGTCAATTTTATGCATTCTGGCGTTCGTAGATACAAGAAAACTGTTAAAATTCTTCAGAAACGTCACTTTTGAAGTGTTTTCTTGTACTTTTAAGCCAATCAGATACCCTACGGGCTCGGAAAGTGCAACGAAACCATCAAATTTTAGCTAGAAACTGTATTTTTGTCGATTTTTATTGAATTTGAACTATATTTCAACGTTTTTTGATGGTTCTGAGCCACCAAACACACTTAAAGCATGCAGAATCGACTCAGAATCAGGAAAAGGAGACGTTTGGTCAATTTTATGCATTCTGGCGTTCGTAGATACAAGAAAACTGTTAAAATTCTTCAGAAACGTCACTTTTGAAGTGTTTTCTTGTACTTTTAAGCCAATCAGATACCCTACGGGCTCGGAAAGTGCAACGAAACCATCAAATTTTAGCTAGAAACTGTATTTTTGTCGATTTTTATTGAATTTGAACTATATTTCAACGTTTTTTGATGGTTCTGAGCCACCAAACACACTTAAAGCATGCAGAATCGACTCAGAATAGGAAAAGGAGACGTTTAGGTCAATTTTATGCATTCTGGCGTTCGTAGATACAAGAAAACTGTTAAAATTCTTCAGAAACGTCACTTTTGAAGTGTTTTCTTGTACTTTTAAGCCAATCAGATACCCTACGGGCTCGGAAAGTGCAACGAAACCATCAAATTTTAGCTAGAAACTGTATTTTTGTCGATTTTTATTGAATTTGAACTATATTTCAACGTTTTTTGATGGTTCTGAGCCACCAAACACACTTAAAGCATGCAGAATCGACTCAGAATAGGAAAAGGAGACGTTTAGGTCAATTTTATGCATTCTGGCGTTCGTAGATACAAGAAAACTGTTAAAATTCTTCAGAAACGTCACTTTTGAAGTGTTTTCTTGTACTTTTATTATGGGCAAACATATTAACATTGTTAATATGTTTGCCCATTATTTTTCCTCGATTTTTGACTTACCTGAAACCAACCAATTGCAAGGTAATACATTTGTTAGTAATAGCAGCAACTTGCCGTTCCATATCCAGATTTTTGATGACGATGTGCTTGCAGCTATCAGTAAAATAAAAAACACTTGTTCCGCTGGCATCGACCAAGTCCCTTCTTTTCTGATAAAAGACTGTTCAGCTGCCTTTCTTAAACCTTTGTGTTATTTGTTTAACCTAAGCCTTAATAATTCTTGCTTCCCCAATATGTGGAAGATCGCTAAAATTGTACCAGTATACAAATCAGGAGATATATCCGATGTGCGCAGTTACCGCCCCATTTCAATTTTATCCTGCTTCTCCAAAGTTTATGAAAGTATTTTATATCGACAAATTTATTTCAATATTAAGGAACTAATCTCTATACACCAGCACGGCTTTTCTTCAGGAAGATCAACTCATACGAACTTAATGTGTATGTCCCAAATAATATCCGATACGCTAGATCACAGTGGCCAGCTTGACGTTATATATACGGATCTGTCGAAAGCTTTCGACAAAATTAATCACCAAATTTTGCTTTGTAAGTTGTCTGCTATGGGTTTCTCTGATTCCTTAATAAAACTATTTTATTCTTATCTGTCTTCGAGGGTAAATTGTGTTGTGTATAATGGTTTTAAGTCTAATTCTTATGCTTCATTCTCAGGTGTCCCGCAGGGCTCCATACTCGGTCCACTTTGTTTCATAATTTACTTAAACGATGTTGTGGATATCATCCAGAACTCCCAAATTCTTATTTATGCAGATGACATCAAAATATTTCATAAAATTGGCAACGTGGATGACTGCTTAATGCTCCAAAATGACATAAACAAACTAAAGGATTGGTGTTTACTGAATAAACTGCCATTGAATATTGATAAATGCAAGGTTGTTTCCTTCACGCTGTCTTACAATCCTTGTCAATTTGATTATCATATTGGTAACAGTATTCTTCAACGAACTACAAATATAAAAGATCTTGGTGTGCATTATGACTCGAAATTTTCTTTTAAAGAACATGTCACTAACATTGTAGGTAAGGCTGGTAAGATGTTTGGGTTTATTGTACGAAATTGTAAAGGTTTTAATAACGTGTTACCCTTAATTCAACTTTTTAATTCACTGGTGAGATCTAGGTTAGAATATTGCTCCACGGCTTGGTTCCCATATTATGATTATCAGATAAGGCTGCTAGAGAACGTTCAAAGGAAATTTTTAAAGTATTTATATTTCAAGGATGAAGGAGTGTGGCCAGTTAGAAATTACCCACATGTAGTATTATTAGAGCGATACAAACTTAATACATTGCAGTGCAGAAGAGTTGTCAGCGCACTTATTTTCTTGCATAAACTTCTGAATAATAAAATTGACTGTGGTGAGTTTCTTTCTGGCCTAAAATTTTATGTGCCGAGATTAAATAATCGATATTCAGTAACGCTTTATTCCAGTACACCACGCACAAATATTGGTAGAAGAGCTCCATTATATGTGATCAGCATGTATACGAACAAAATGGAGAGAAATAGCGATTGTGATATTTTCAGCTGCTCGAACAGAGAACTGAAAACTGCAATCTGTGACAAGCTAAATTTATGAAAGATGTAACTGTCAATTTCTGCTTATGTTAAATGTAATTGTGATAGGAAAGATTTGGGAATATTTGCCAATTATTAGTTAGACTAAAATTGTGTTATGTTTTGCTGAAATTGTCCTGTAATTGGAAAATATTCTGTAGGACAATTAAATATTTATTTATTTATTTATTTATTTATTTATTTACTTTTAAGCCAATCAGATATCCTACGGGCTCGGAAAGTGCAACGAAACCATCAAATTTTAGCTAGAAACTGTATTTTTGTCGATTTTTATTGAATTTGAACTATATTTCAACGTTTTTTGATGGTTCTGAGCCACCAAACACACTTAAAGCATGCAGAATCGACCCAGAATAGGAAAATTAGACGTTTAGGTCAATTTTATGCATTCTGGCGTTCGTAGATACAAGAAAACTGTTAAAATTCTTCAGAAACGTCACTTTTGAAGTGTTTTCTTGTACTTTTAAGCCAATCAGATACCCTACGGGCTCGGAAAGTGCAACGAAACCATCAAATTTTAGCTAGAAACTGTATTTTTGTCGATTTTTATTGAATTTGAACTATATTTCAACGTTTTTTGATGGTTCTGAGCCACCAAACACACTTAAAGCATGCAGAATCGACTCAGAATAGGAAAAGGAGACGTTTAGGTCAATTTTATGCATTCTGGCGTTCGTAGATACAAGAAAACTGTTAAAATTCTTCAGAAACGTCACTTTTGAAGTGTTTTCTTGTACTTTTAAGCCAATCAGATACCCTACGGGCTCGGAAAGTGCAACGAAACCATCAAATTTTAGCTAGAAACTGTATTTTTGTCGATTTTTATTGAATTTGAACTATATTTCAACGTTTTTTGATGGTTCTGAGCCACCAAACACACTTAAAGCATGCAGAATCGACTCAGAATAGGAAAAGGAGACGTTTAGGTCAATTTTATGCATTCTGGCGTTCGTAGATACAAGAAAACTGTTAAAATTCTTCAGAAACGTCACTTTTGAAGTGTTTTCTTGTACTTTTAAGCCAATCAGATACCCTACGGGCTCGGAAAGTGCAACGAAACCATCAAATTTTAGCTAGAAACTGTATTTTTTTCGATTTTTATTGAATTTGAACTATATTTCAACGTTTTTTGATGGTTCTGAGCCACCAAACACACTTAAAGCATGCAGAATCGACTCAGAATAGGAAAAGGAAACGTTTAGGTCAATTTTATGCATTCTGGCGTTCGTAGATACAAGAAAACTGTTAAAATTCTTCAGAAACGTCACTTTTGAAGTGTTTTCTTGTACTTTTAAGCCAATCAGATACCCTACGGGCTCGGAAAGTGCATCGAAACCATCAAATTTTAGCTAGAAACTGTATTTTTGTCGATTTTTATTGAATTTGAACTATATTTCAACGTTTTTTGATGGTTCTGAGCCACCAAACACACTTAAAGCATGCAGAATCGACTCAGAATAGGAAAAGGAGACGTTTAGGTCAATTTCATGCATTCTGGCGTTCGTAGATACAAGAAAACTGTTAAAATTCTCCAGAAACGTCACTTTTGAAGTGTTTTCTTGTACTTTTAAGCCAATCAGATACCCTACGGGCTCGGAAAGTGCAACGAAACCATCAAATTTTAGCTAGAAACTGTATTTTTGTCGATTTTTATTGAATTTGAACTATATTTCAACGTTTTTTGATGGTTCTGAGCCACCAAACACACTTAAAGCATGCAGAATCGACTCAGAATAGGAAAAGGAGACGTTTAGGTCAATTTTATGCATTCTGGCGTTCGTAGATACTAGAAAACTGTTAAAATTCTTCAGAAACGTCACTTTTGAAGTGTTTTCTTGTACTTTTAAGCCAATCAGATACCCTACGGGCTCGGAAAGTGCAACGAAACCATCAAATTTTAGCTAGAAACTGTATTTTTGTCGATTTTTATTGAATTTGAACTATATTTCAACGTTTATTGATGGTTCTGAGCCACCAAACACACTTAAAGCATGCAGAATCGACTCAGAATAGGAAAAGGAGACGTTTAGGTCAATTTTATGCATTCTGGCGTTCGTAGATACAAGAAAACTGTTAAAATTCTTCAGAAACGTCACTTTTGAAGTGTTTTCTTGTACTTTTAAGCCAATCAGATACCCTACGGGCTCGGAAAGTGCAACGAAACCATCAAATTTTAGCTAGAAACTGTATTTTTGTCGATTTTTATTGAATTTGAACTATATTTCAACGTTTTTTGATGGTTCTGAGCCACCAAACACACTTAAAGCATGCAGAATCGACTCAGAATAGGAAAAGGAGAGGTTTAGGTCAATTTTATGCATTCTGGCGTTCGTAGATACAAGAAAACTGTTAAAATTCTTCAGAAACGTCACTTTTGAAGTGTTTTCTTGTACTTTTAAGCCAATCAGATACCCAACGGGCTCGGAAAGTGCAACGAAACCATCAAATTTTAGCTAGAAACTGTATTTTTGTCGATTTTTATTGAATTTGAACTATATTTCAACGTTTTTTGATGGTTCTGAGCCACCAAACACACTTAAAGCATGCAGAATCGACTCAGAATAGGAAAAGGAGACGTTTAGGTCAATTTTATGCATTCTGGCGTTCGTAGATACAAGAAAACTGTTAAAATTCTTCAGAAACGTCACTTTTGAAGTGTTTTCTTGTACTTTTAAGCCAATCAGATACCCTACGGGCTCGGAAAGTGCAACGAAACCATCAAATTTTAGCTAGAAACTGTGTTTTTGTCGATTTTTATTGAATTTGAACTATATTTCAACGTTTTTTGATGGTTCTGAGCCACCAAACACACTTAAAGCATGCAGAATCGACTCAGAATAGGAAAAGGAGACGTTTAGGTCAATTTTATGCATTCTGGCGTTCGTAGATACAAGAAAACTGTTAAAATTCTTCAGAAACGTCACTTTTGAAGTGTTTTCTTGTACTTTTAAGCCAATCAGATACCCTACGGGCTCGGAAAGTGCAACGAAACCATCAAATTTTAGCTAGAAACTGTATTTTTGTCGATTTTTATTGAATTTGAACTATATTTCAACGTTTTTTGATGGTTCTGAGCCACCAAACACACTTAAAGCATGCAGAATCGACTCAGAATAGGAAAAGGAGACGTTTAGGTCAATTTTATGCATTCTGGCGTTCGTAGATACAAGAAAACTGTTAAAATTCTTCAGAAACGTCACTTTTGAAGTGTTTTCTTGTACTTTTAAGCCAATCAGACACCCTACGGGCTCGGAAAGTGCAACGAAACCATCAAATTTTAACTAGAAACTGTATTTTTGTCGATTTTTATTGAATTTGAACTATATTTCAACGTTTTTTGATGGTTCTGAGCCACCAAACACACTTAAAGCATGCAGAATCAACTCAGAATAGGAAAAGGAGACGTTTAGGTCAATTTTATGCATTCTGGCGTTCGTAGATACAAGAAAACTGTTAAAATTCTTCAGAAACGTCACTTTTGAAGTGTTTTCTTGTACTTTTAAGCCAATCAGATACCCTACGGGCTCGGAAAGTGCAACGAAACCATCAAATTTTAGCTAGAAACTGTATTTTTGTCGATTTTTATTGAATTTGAACTATATTTGAACGTTTTTTGATGGTTCTGAGCCACCAAACACACTTAAAGCATGCAGAATCGACTCAGAATAGGAAAAGGAGACGTTTAGGTCAATTTTATGCATTCTGGCGTTCGTAGATACAAGAAAACTGTTAAAATTCTTCAGAAACGTCACTTTTGAAGTGTTTTCTTGTACTTTTAAGCCAATCAGATACCCTACGGGCTCGGAAAGTGCAACGAAACCATCAAATTTTAGCTAGAAACTGTATTTTTGTCGATTTTTATTGAATTTGAACTATATTTCAACGTTTTTTGATGGTTCTGAGCCACCAAACACACTTAAAGCATGCAGAATCGACTCGGAATAGGAAAAGGAGACGTTTAGGTCAATTTTATGCATTCTGGCGTTCGTAGATACAAGAAAACTGTTAAAATTCTTCAGAAACGTCACTTTTGAAGTGTTTTCTTGTACTTTTAAGCCAATCAGATACCCTACGGGCTCGGAAAGTGCAACGAAACCATCAAATTTTAGCTAGAAACTGTATTTTTGTCGATTTTTATTGAATTTGAACTATATTTCAACGTTTTTTGATGGTTCTGAGCCACCAAACACACTTAAAGCATGCAGAATCGACTCAGAATAGGAAAAGGAGACGTTTAGGTCAATTTTATGCATTCTGGCGTTCGTTGATACAAGAAAACTGTTAAAATTCTTCAGAAACGTCACTTTTGAAGTGTTTTCTTGTACTTTTAAGCCAATCAGATACCCTACGGGATCGGAAAGTGCAACGAAACCATCAAATTTTAGCTAGAAACTGTATTTTTGTCGATTTTTATTGAATTTGAACTATATTTCAACGTTTTTTGATGGTTCTGAGCCACCAAACACACTTAACGCATGCAGAATCGACTCAGAATAGGAAAAGGAGACGTTTAGGTCAATTTTATGCATTCTGGCGTTCGTAGATACAAGAAAACTGTTAAAATTCTTCAGAAACGTCACTTTTGAAGTGTTTTCTTGTACTTTTAAGCCAATCAGATACCCTACGGGCTCGGAAAGTGCAACGAAACCATCAAATTTTAGCTAGAAACTGTATTTTTGTCGATTTTTATTGAATTTGAACTATATTTCAACGTTTTTTGATGGTTCTGAGCCACCAAACACACTTAAAGCATGCAGAATCGACTCAGAATAGGAAAAGGAGACGTTTAGGTCAATTTTATGCATTCTGGCGTTCGTAGATACAAGAAAACTGTTAAAATTCTTCAGAAACGTCACTTTTGAAGTGTTTTCTTGTACTTTTAAGCCAATCAGATACCCGACGGGCTCGGAAAGTGCAACGAAACCATCAAATTTTAGCTAGAAACTGTATTTTTGTCGATTTTTATTGAATTTGAACTATATTTCAACGTTTTTTGATGGT